TAATAGATGCATTTTATTAAGATTGAGATTGCAAGGAAGTTTGAGTACGAGAAAAAGAGTACATGGGTTTAATAAATTTGTTTACAAAGCACAAAAGAGAATTTAGATGACCAAGGTTAACGACTGATATGTAGTAGTAGCAATTGCTGATTCATCAAATGATTATTACCACAGAAAACGCTTACCGTAGATATGTACAAGTTCACTCGAGTTCAACGAATTTCACTTGATTTAACTGCGCTTTTGCAACGAGTACAGAACAATAGGTAAAAAATTACAGTGTACTGTTATCGGTTCTGGACTGTGGACAAGGAAAAACGGAGAAGAACGGGAGACACCCACGGGGGGACACCTGGTTAACAATATTATAGTTGTTGCAAAACGGTGCAGATGTCGTCTGAATTGTTTCTGTTATTAGAAAATGATCGTGCGCAAAGTGTAAATACAATTCCGAAAATCGTGAGTTCATGGGAAAATGTCGGATGGTTGAAGCGAAAGCTATTGTTCAGGAAGACTAAAAATAATGATTCGTCTAAAAATATCGTTGGGATTTGCGAATCCTGTTTCTGTACGAGATGATTCGTATTATCGTTGGTATCATTAGCCGACACAATTAACGCTCGTCTCACAAATGTCAGAAATCATGTGAATTCCAATGCTGAAAGATAACGCCATCGACTTTCTTAACCTGCACAACGTGCGTTATCGTGGTGATAACATTTTTATCAAAAGATGTCAGTCGTACAGCAAAGTCTAACTAGTGACCCGCGGAGGTCAATAAGTCTACACTGAATTTACACTGAGTCCAACGATATGTTCTTCGTAAGGCGTACGATAAATCTATCAATCCATACGCATCAGGATTTGAATTTTCGATGATTGACAGTGACGTGAAAGAACAACGTGCAGTCGGTGAGGAAAACAGATTCGCTATTTACGCGATAGGATTCGAAATCTTAGTCACGTTCGCGGAACACCATGATCTTTACTCGATATTTAACTGTATATTCCTGATCAATATTAAGATTAAATATCTATGTGCACGCGCGTTCGGTATCAGTGCTAAGTTGAGTAACATTACAGAAGGGAACAGTAACAGATCGATTATTGTTACGAGAGATACGTTCACGTTGAATAATCACGATTTTCGGTATTGTTATTCATTAATATGAGAATAATGTTCTAAATCAATATTTGTTATTGGATCGCAAGATTTTCGTTCCGCTATAGTGGCAGAGGTGCGGAGCCGAGTGGAATAAAAAAGATGGCCGCCGTTGGGCTGCTGCCATGAACAGGGGGCCGCGTCGCCTGGTGTTGCTCGTGGAAATGGGACGTTGCGACACCCAACTGTCACACAGTTGTGCTCGTCAAGTGTCACCGTCGAACCGTACGCGAAGTGACGTGAAGTGTTTCTCAGTTTCCTCGTGTCCAGGTCCGGCTTGCGGATAAAACTCGACTTTAAAGGCCGCACCACCGCGCGATGGCATCCACCGACGGGTAAGGAAAGGACGAGATTCTCTCCGTTCGGTTCTAGGGGAACACGGGGAGAGATACGAGTTACTCTATAGCGAGGCGGCCTATGCGTGTTTCGCGGATCGATAGTGAATTTTTTTCCCAGTGACCCGTCCCAGTTTTCTCCTCCGGTCGAAGAAGAACCCGGCTACCGTTTACCCGAAACGCACAATCTTCGTCACGTCTTTATTTACAATCCGCGTTTTATCAAACCGCGACTGGGTGGGTCTTCGCCTCTCCTCATTTCTTTTGCTCCCCGTTTTACATTTCGCACGCGTTTATCGTCGCTCTCCTTCTTTTCTCCACTTTCGTTTTTCTCCTCGTCGTCGTCGTCTTCTTCTTCTTCTCCTCCGTCTCTCCGTCGCGTACTTGCTGTTAGTACGGATTTTCTGCTGCCTATTTCAGTCAATTAAACGGATAGCATGACATCAGACGAGTTGCCAGTATCGCAGCCACAGCATTCCTATCAATTTATGGTTACAGGGGGGGATGGGAGGGGTTGGACACCCTTTTATTGCGACGGGAGAGAAACTTTTCCGAGGTTCTGAACGTTTTCACCTATTCGTTTCGCGAACCGTCCCTCCCGGTGACAGTCATCGCTTTCCTACGAAGTTTCGCTGTTATCATTTAATCCGTTGCCTCGGGAATGAAATAAAGATCGGCCTGGTCCACTCGCGGATTCGCTGGAATATCGATTAATTATTTATAACTTGCGATTCGGTCGTGGTTTAAAGAAAAACCGACTGTCACTCGAAATTTTATCCGATCTTCGATCCAATCCTCGCCGTCACAACGTTTCGCGCGATCCTTCCTTTTTTTATTCACTTTGTCACACTATTTTTAGAGTTTTTAATTATAGTGATAAAAAGGAGCAACAAATTTATCTTCGAGTGCACCCCATCGAGTGCTTTAATGATTTGCCATGTGCACAGCCCGTTTTATCCTGTCCTTTAACATTTTCGATTAAACCGCGATTTCTCCGATGCGAAAACGAAACACGGTTGTTAATCGGATGTCGTTAAATTGTTAAATGTAATTGCAGTAGAATGGAATGGGTGGAGATTATAGAACCACGCACCAAGGAGCATATGTACGCCAATCTCACCACCGGGGAGTGTGTGTGGGATCCCCCTCCAGGTGTGCCAGTGTAAGTTTTAGAGATAATACATTTTTTTTTTTCTAGGAAGAAGGAACACCGGGAAATCTCTCATTAAAAGAATTAAATTGCTCGCGTCTATCAGATTAAAGCCTGTCTTTCTGATCTAATTAGTCCAGTGAAAGTTATCATCGCGCGAGCTTTTCCTTTTACGATAGAGGAAGAGTCCGCGGTCCAGATTTCTATTTGACGCCGTGCCTCGACTTTCAATTGTCAACCCCGCGATCGGCACGCATTTTTTATATCAGCTCTGGGTATTCGGTTCACTGCTGTGCTTTCAATTAACAGGAAGAAGACGGACAACAATCAGTGGTGGGAACTGTTCGATCAGAATACGTCGCGGTTCTACTATTACAATGCGACCTCACAGAAAACCGTGTGGCACCGTCCAAGCGACTGTGACATCATACCTCTAGCAAAGCTTCAGGTGAATGATTCGTTTATATTACGTCGACTGATAACGCGCGTTCACACATCTGCGTGGCTCGATGTTAAGAAAAAGTTATTGGAATTTCCGATACTGATAAACATGTTTGCTCAGTGAGCGTGCGCGGTTTATTAAAGATATACAAATTCCGTGCGTACAGACGGAATGATTTAGGAGTTTCCCCAAACCGCTATACATCAATGTAGCCTCTCTTCTGTAGAATGTCGGGGATACGAGCGTGCAAGCTGTCGGCTCTGCTATAAATAGACGTTTGTAGCTAGGAGAAAAAACTCTTGGTTTACGTTATACCACGCTGCAAGCGTCATAATCGTTTAAGAACCCACTTACGTTTTATTTGCGTGTCTCATGTTAGATCCCATTTTTATTTCCCACGGTAGTATTCTTCGTGTTATAAAATACGAAAGGTCTAACGCTGTTCGTTTTGTATATTTCCCTTTGTTAGCAACGGTTCTTCGAAAATCTGATTGCAGACGCTAAAGCAGAACACAGAGCCGGCAAGCAGCAGTGGAGTGGACAGTCAGAAATCAGCCGAGCCAAGGAGAAAAGAGTCCGTGTCGACGCAAACGCAAACCCCTTCTGTCAGCCGACTGGCGAGGTTCAATCACCAAGAAAGTTCCAATCTGTCCTCTTCGCAGACAGGTAGCGTAAATAAAGCGAGGTCGACGAACGCCAGCGTAGATCTTCAAACGTCACCTCCGTCGCCGTCGCCGTCCTCGAGGCGCCATCATCATCACCATCATCACAACAACAGGCACCACAGGCACCATCATGAAGTGCCGACCACGCGGCGTCAGCACAACCACTCGCAGGATTCGGGTAGATCCAGCGACAGTTCGGTTTCCCACAGTAGAACGTCCCTCGAATCGACCGGGTATCGATTGCTGGACTCCCCGCATCGGCATCATCATCGTACCGGGCCGCAGCCTTCGGCGAACCAGGCGCAGTCCTCGCCCAGGCAGCACAGCGGCACTCTGGAGGCTCGGGGGCACAAGAGTGGCACTCTGGAAAGCGTGAAGAATCAGAAATCGGTGAACCTGGGCGAACCACCGCCGTTAGGCTTATCGCTTTCCACCAGCACACCGCTTTTCAAGAAGAAATCGTTCGTGGACACTCAGCGCGAGGCCAGGGCGGGCAACTTGGAGTTGGAGAAGAATAAAAATGGTATGTCTCGTTTTGGAATTGAATTAAAAAACTATTGATTTTCTGCAGGGACGTTTAATCGTTTTGAAATCACAGGTAGGGAGAGTAGTAGAGGGTCGTACGGTCCGGAGCCGAGTACGTCGCCGTATCGCGAGTCGTTGATGGAATCGCGAATATTCAGGCAAGAGATGCCGCCGTACCGTCCGCCGGAGGTTCAGCTGAGCCACAGTTATAAGTCGCAGGGCGAGAAGTACGGCTCGCTGGTGGAGAGCGTCGGCAATCGTTATCACAGAGACAGGGAAAGAGAGAGTGTTCACCATAGAGAGAGAGTAAATAGTCTAGACAAGACGAACGCGTCAGCCTTTCATCCAAGTTCCATGCATCCGCGTAATATGAATAAGCAAGATAATACTGGTAGTATAGGGAGAAGGCATCACGGTTGTTCGGTGTCGCTGTCCGAAGCGAACGTTAGGGATATGTACGGGGCTATGCTGGCCGAGAGGAACGAACTGCCTAAGAGCCTCGTCAGAGGCGCCAGCGTTCTCAGCAATGCGTCCAAGCAGAGAAGCGTCGACGTCGTTGAGAGAGAAAGAGAACGCGACAGGGAAAAGGATTACAGACGGAACACCGCTTGTAACAACTCCTTGGATTGTGAGTAAACTCTCCGGTAAATATTTCAAAGTTTGCGACGCGCGTTACGATGATTTAATTTCGCTTCGCCTAGGTGTTCCACCTTCCTTGGCTCGTAGCTACAGCTTCGTTCAACAGCAGAAGCAGCAACAGAAGTTGCAACAGATGCATCAGCAGCAACAGCAGCAACAACAGCAGCAGCAACAGTCCAGGAGAAGGGACAGGGATGACGATTCCATGCACGAGCGTTATTTAATCAGCCAGAGCCACGAGCAGTCCAGGCAAAGGCTCAGCAGCAACACTAGCAGTAGCAATAGCAGTAACAGTAGCAGCAATAGTGCCGTAGGCGAGGAGATAGAAGAGGACGACAGCAAGAAGAAGAGGAGCAACGGCAACCCGAGTCCACCTCCGTCTCCGTTTTACGGGAACTTACTGTCCGATCCCGATCACTTGTTACCACTTCAACATTATATTCTTCAGCAGGCACAACTTTCGGGTACGTGCGCTCGATGCTTCGAGGGATTTTCGTCTCTTACGCATTTATATAAACTATTCTTGATATTTTTTTACTATAGGTTGTTATAAGTTCGGAGATCCGTTGCTGGTGGAAGAGGGCGACGATTCTTTGGACGAGGAGGGCGGCAGAGGCGAGGGTATCGGCGGGAGAGCCGAGGACGATTCCGACGATCAGTTCGCAGATGACGAAGCGGCCAGCAATCAGGGCGATTCCTCCAGTCAAGAATACCTCGAGGATCATTACGCAGGTCAGCTAATGACTTCTTTTTTTACGGTTTAAATGACTTGCAGTGCAACTCTTGTGTAACATGATGATTACATCTTCCGGCGTCCTCATTTTCTAAGCCTGTCATTAACTAGTTATGAATAATTGTTTCAGATTTGGGTAACTATGACACTGCAGGGTTGGCCACGTACTACAACACCGCAGATACTCTGACGAGGCCACAGGTGCGACCTCCGTCGCCCCCGCACGTGACAACGCAGTCTGAAACCCGAGAACCTGTGACGATCGCGACGCGGCAGCCTCCAGGCTTAACGCCCACGACGACAGTCTTTGTTCCTAGCACCGGCGTCGAGAAGAAAGACGGCGAGGAGCCGCGGCGAGATGACGGTGCGGGCGGCGGTGGCGGCGGAGACATCGAGAAGTACGCGCAGGACAATCTGAACCTGAACTGCGGCCGCCCGAAAGGCTTGAGGCTGCTCTTCCGCAAGAAGTTCAGCGTACGCGACATCCTCAGCTGGTCGAAGGATCCTATACCCCAGCCGATGCTCGTGATGGTCGACGGCGAAAAGCTGCTAAAGCGGGAAGCTTGCAATCTCTTCAGGCTTGTTCAAGTTTACATGGGCGATCGCAAGGCGAACGTCGGGATGACGCTGGACAGCGTAGCGATGGACATCGTGAACACGGTTTACTCGAAACCACCGTTGCGGGACGAGTTGTACGTCCAGATCTGCAGACAGACCACCGAGAATCCTAGGAGAGACAGTCTCCGTCGGGGATGGGAGCTGCTGGCCGTTTGCCTGGCGTTCGTGCCACCCAGCGCTACGTTCGAACCGTACCTCGAGGGTTATATGAACAGGCATCGGGATCCGAATTTCCAGTTCCCGGAGGTAGCCAAGTGGCCCATCCACGTGCAAGTCAGCCATTACGCGACGGTCGCTTGTCGTCGTTTGCAAAGAATCGGTGCCCACGGCAAGAGGCAACCGAGGAAGGCTACTCTCGAAGACATCGACCAAGCTAGAGTACGTTCACTAATATCACTGTGCGATTTTTTTAGTGTATTCCTGTGCCAGTGTGAATTCGTAGTCAACTGTGTTTCGTATAATCCGTAGATTCAAATTTTCCGAGCGTCGATGTTCGGCGCGACGCTGTCCGAAGTGATGGCCCTCCAAAGAGACCGTTTCCCGAATCGAGAGTTACCATGGATACAGACCACGCTGACGCGGCAGGTGTTGGCTCGCGGCGGTATCCAGACGGAGGGCATCTTCCGAGTGTCCGCAGACGCGGACGAAGTCAGCGCATTGAAGGCTTGCCTGGACAGGTTCGAGGACGGCACCATCCTCGCCGCTTCGCAGGACGCCCACGCGCCTGCCTCGCTGCTGAAGCTCTGGGTCAGAGAGCTCTACGAACCTCTGATTCCTGACTCCTTTTACACCGAGTGCGTCTCCATGAGGCACGACGATCCCGAGGCCTCCGCTGCCAACGTCGCCGCGCTCGTCGACAGGCTGCCTGACTTAAATCGTCGCGTTCTTTGCCATCTGATACGATTCCTTCAGGTAAACGCGTGATGTATTAAAATGTATCTTGTTAAATTTCATCTATGACAGTTGAACGAGAAGTGCAAGCGGAGATGAGTTTCGATCAGTAGGATGAATTTGATTTCAGATATTTGCGAGATCGGAAGTGGTAGCCCGCACCAAGATGGACGCGAATAATCTAGCGATGGTGATGGCGCCGAACATACTGCGATGCACCTCGCAGGACCCACGGGTGATCCTGGAGAACGCGCGGAAGGAGATGGCATTCGTTCGCACCCTGATAGAGTCGCTGAACACCGCCTGGGTCGACGATCTCCACTGACCGCGTTCCCTTCTCCGCGCGCTAGATAAGGAAAGAAAATAAATAAATAACGAACGCCTCTAGACTAACTATGCCAAATGAATCACAGCTGTATATTACACACTGTACTATTGTTAGTTATACTTCACCATTGTTCTTCTTATTATCTTTCTATTTCGTTTTCGTTCATTTATATTTTAATTTGCTTGCTGCAACGATGACAAGGCCAACTGAGTGTTTTCTTAAGACTGATTATGATCAAATCTAACACATCTACGTTTTTTTATGTTACAGGAAACTGAAAGCTTTACGATTATACATATCCTCGAGTAGAAAATTATAATGACAATTTCACCTTTCATTCGTAACGATTTATACATCGCATTTCACTGTACTAGGTAATGAAAATTTGTTTTATTATCGTTGCAGCAAACGACGCAGTTACGCGATCGCCGTGAAACTAGCCCCGTGAATGTTTACAAAACTGATTGTAATAATCTAGCCGCTAAACGAAATGTCTTACCAAGCTAATCTCCTCGTTTTCTAATATATTTATTATTTATAATAACGAAAGAAGTAATAACGCGCAGATTCTATACGTTAAAACAGAAATAGAGATTATTAGATTATATTATGTACATCGCTACACATATATATATATTCATATTATATATATATTTTACCAAACCCTTGTTACCGCGGATTAAGAGGGGGAAGAAGAAGAAGAAAAAAATTGATTGAACGCGGACGGCTTTTCTACTCGATACATTGTTGAATCTCGTGTAAAATAAAACAGAAAAGGACAAAAAAAAATATACGAATTGTCATCGTCATTGTCATCATGTGTTACCGTTGTATAGCTCTGTGCACCGCGCGATTAAACGAAAAAAAAAAAACCAACAGAAAAAGTGAATAAAAAAACGTGTTTTTGTATTAAGAACGAGCAACCCGTTGTGTGTTTAACGAGGAGTAAAATCATTGCAAGAAAAAAAGAAGACTTAGCAAGCTGCAAACTAGTGTGTTTCTTTTCCTTGTAGCCTTTGAAACGAAATTAAATAATGCACTTTACCTCTCTTTCTATATATCATAGGAGAAACGAAGATAGAGAAAATTATATTTTCACCATCGAGTGAGAGGATGTGAGAGCATCGTGATTGTTGAAGACTAATTGAAAGAATATTGATTATAGATATATATAATATATATATATGGCATAACAAGTGTTTATATTTTACATCGAGATATATTATAAAAAGAAGGATATTGTTTTTAATGTTTAAGACGCTTTAACAAATTAACGCAGTACAAGATATATATATATATATTATATAGCTGCCCTATTACTTTCCGTTTGTACAATTTTCTTTTCTTTTTTTCTATCGAGAAACAGAAGAAGTTACCAGTAAATTATATATATATATTATGTATTTAAACACAGTTATTTAAATTATGTATGTGTAAAAAAGGAGAAGAGAACAAAACAAAAAAATATCACAACTCGTCGCTACTTATCGCAATAAGAAAACGGTGTTTCGTTTCTTTTTTCGTTTCTTTCATGTAAATATTGTATAAAAAGAAACGTAGACGTTACTATTATATATATATATAACAGTTCACGAGACTTGAACCAAAAGTTTATTTTGCGTTAGCAAGAGAAGAACACTCGCTTTTTATACTAACACTAGGCATTATAATAAAATCTAGTTAACTACGTCTACCCAATTTTATATTATATATATATATATATACAAGATGTACAAAGTTTAATTAATTGACGGTTTCAATTAATACTGCTGACGCGTCACCATTCTTTTTTTTTTTTTACATATATAATACATTAACGCGTTTCTTCCTAGGGGAGGATTGCACGCGATGCTTGAAAATTTGTAACTTTCAATCCTGTTTGTGATAAACGCGGACGCATTTTCATTTTCTTTCGTCAGATATAAGTATATATGTGCCGTTTATATATTTTTTTGCACCTCGTTCTCTTTTCAGTTGCCACTGTGCGTTACATTAAGCAGAGGATGCGATTGTTTTCTTTTTTTTTTTTTTTAAATAAATCTTTTGCCCAAACGAAGCCTGCTTGTTCACTCGACTCAATCGTTCAATCGACTGTTTAGTTCAATTGCTCGGCACTTTTCACAGGAACGAGACACCGCTCACGACTATCACACGTTTTCTAGGTATCAGGAGGTACCGTCAGCAATTGTCGATGAAAGACGCGGTGGAACCACTGGCGATCTCCGCGTATTCTTGCCTGCTCGCTGAACACAACTTGCTAGTAAAGTCGGTATCCCTTTTTCTGTACACAGGAACCGAGATAAATAATTAAACGCTTGTTCTACAATTGAGCAATAAAAAAATGCAAGATGTACCGACCCTCTTCCTGGAAGCTCCATGACGTCGACGGTGACGCTGTTAACGTAAAGTCGATCGTTGCACCAGAAGAAGCAGAGGGACCTCGGCTGTAAAACGTCCATGTCGTAAGTCCAGGAGAGTTCGACGCGTCGGATCTTCCCGATTTCTCCTGTAGCGCCCGCGGGATGTGCCACGACCATCCTCACAGTAGACCCGTGTTCCAGTTTCATGTAACCGCTTCAATCACGTGAAATCAATCCAATTTATTTAAACAAATCCTTCGGTGCAGAAAAAATCTCGTTTACTATTTTATTATTTTGTTGTTTTAGTTCATTTGTGGAGTCGTTGATTGATTAATGACGATTACCTGGGAGTGAGGTCCACGTCGCGAATTATACCGTTTTCTGCGTGGAACGTCACTTTCATGAAGCCTTGAACCCAGCTCTCGGCAGTCGGCGGCCGGGCAAGATTTATAGTGATCCTATAATGCCTTCCTAATAATTGAAAAATGGATATTATAATTTTATTAGAAATTTAAAACATGAGTGTTACAGTACAGTCTTTTTCACAGGAGAACGTGTCTGATAATTTATTGGGCCGTAGTAATTCAAAACTGGATTGGACACTTTCAATCGTAGGAGTACAAATTATTTATTATTTGCGAGTAGCTCTACTTTCACTCTGTTATCACTCTGTACCCTGGAATATTGCTGGTATACTCGTTTCGATCTGCCCTACATATGTGCATTATGCATTAGAAATAAAATCTCGTTGACCTTTTAATAATTTCTTATCTCAAAGAGTTAATTTGGTCATTTAAATCTGTTTGTAAAATGAGATAATTTAAATTAAGATCTAATTAAATGACGGTTAATGAATTTGATTTCATTGAATTTTTAAAGAATTAATCATTTAATTTATTCTACTTTCTATTTAACAGTTTGTGGAACCTGTTTATATTTGTGCAAATAGTGATCGACACTTACTGCAATAAGGATCGTCTTTGCCAGTGGTGAAAAAGAACTTGGAGCCCACCAGGGACAGAACGTCTTGGCCCATGGCCTGTCTTCTGACCACAGCTGGACTGGAGTCAGCGTGGTAGCCCATCACACCACAACTGAGACTATTATTACTTTTGCATGAGAAACACTCGCCCCTGAGAAAGCTGGCATAATTGGAGCACTCGTGGGCTACGTACTGGCACCTAGAACAGGATAAACAATCTATCGTTCAAATAATTTAATTAATATTCTATATTCACTTTATAATATGTCGTACTTTGGTACAAGTGAATTTTCCAGAAATATTTTATTAATAATTATGTTTCGATTTGGATGCAATAACTGACCTGGAGTTTATGCTCTCGATGAACAATTTTATGGCACGCACGTGGTTGCAAGCTACCAGAACTCTGGAAGCCTCCTCCAGGCCCTCTCTGATCAAAGTCAGCGGTAAGGATGGGGTAGTTTCACTTAAATCTGTGCAGCCCGGTTGTTCCTTCCCGTTGTTAGGGTAGAAATCCAGGTGACCGCATGGCTGACTCATCCCGTATCCTGGAAGCCCTTATCGTGTGATAAGTTAATTAAATTTATTGGAGTTCATGAATGAATCAATAATTTCATTCAGATATCAATACAAAATAAATCAATCATTTAATTAATCAAGAATTTTATTTATAAATTTATTAATTATAGAAAATTGATCGCACGTATTTTTTTACCTAATAGGAATATGCTTTTGCCATCTGTGTGAATGACATCGACCAGTTTCGCGTCGGTGTAGTCCAGTCTGAGGTGGCTGGGCATTCCCTGGAAATAAGGCTCAGCTGGATCCAGTCCTGTGATCCTGCCGATGTTCCCGTTCAACTTTTCACCTGCATATCCGGCCGTATGAGCACCCAAGCTGTGACCGATCAGGTGGACGTCGTTGGTGTCCAATCCGTAATTGTTCTGCGTTTCAACAACATGTATTTTAATTTTCTCTACCATCAATCTCACCCATCTGACTCGGAGAATGTGTTCGGAAATGATCGCAAGCATAAAAGTATTCGTTGCGTTTTTAAAGGTGTACGTGTATTTAAAATATCTGTCTTATCTTGATTTACGTGATTGTTATACAATTAAGATACGAACTATGACCAGCGTTCACCATAAGGAAGCAGCATCTGATTCACCATTAGATCTATTAAATGAATTCAAGTAACATACTTTTAGCTTTCTTCAACGATCATTATCTTCAGACAGAGAAGCTCTGCGTTTACAATCATCACACCTAAAAACGAGCCCGAGTGATCTAAAAGTTCGCTCTGGGAAATAAACGATTAGGTTTTTATATATAAAACGAGTGTTGCTATTTTTCACGGGTTTCGAGTGATAGATATGAGAAAGCGGTTTTCCCTGATCGAAAGTCCGATGTTACCTGCAGGTGTTTGATCAGATGAGCTATTTCGAGGCCCACCAGTCGAGTGTTCGCAGTGGCCTGAGTGTACAGTGGCAGACTGCCCCCAGCCCAGTCGACTATGATCACGTTATAATCGTCGTGCTTCAGCAGCTCGTTCCTCATTTCCTATTCAGATACAAGACTATTAATAGCATCAAAGATTGTGTCAAAAACAACGTCAGAGATGAAGTGAATTGTCTCATTAGAATTCTTAATAATAATCGATAAGTTAATAAATTGTTTAGTTCTGTGGTGACTCACCTTCACCCAATTGCTGAGGGGTGTGTCTATGAAACCGTGAATAATGAACTTCGTTTTCCTCTTAGGACTAAAGTATGATCGCTTGATCGACTTGTCTTTAGCTACTATCAACACCTGACCCTGTAAAAATTATTTCAATGCAATTATAGTAGACTTTTTTTAATCGTATAATCTTTAATAATAAATTGTATGGTAAGAATGAATTTAGCGTTACTTT